TATTTGAGTTCAATTCGATTCAATTCGATTCAATTTGAAAAAATCAAATCAAATTCAAATTGCTTAAATATTTGATTTGATTCGATTTTGAGAAACCCTAATGATATCATAAATGAAATGGAAATCAGAAGAAGAACAGAAGTTAGTAGTGATACAAAGTACAAAAGAAAGACAGAAGTCTGAAAAAGTAAGAAGAAAAAATTGTTATAAGGAAAACAAGTAAGAATTAATATAATAGAAGTAAAAGTAATATAATGGAAGTATAAAGTAATATAACAGAATAAAAGTAAATAGTAAACAGTAAATAATAAATAGTAAACAATAACAATATGGAATAAACAACGGAATAGGAATAATAGTAAAATATAGAAATTTTATAATAAAAATCATGTAGTGAAAATTAGATAACGAATATTACGAAGCGAATTTAGTATATAAACACCTTGAATATCTTCAAGGAACCAAGTCATTCAATTCCCCAAACACAAAAAAAAAATTATTATTAAATAAATAAATTTTTAACACAAATAAAAATGAAAATTTTTGTTTGAAATAATTAATTGTTGAACAATAAATTATGAAAATAAATAAAGTTATTTCGCTTGTATATAAACTTTAATTTTAGAAAAATGTTAATGAAAGAATGCAGGAATAAAATTAAAAGGAATAATAAAAATATAATAAAAGAAAAAGAATATTTAAATATAAAAATATGAAATGACATAAATAGAAGTATTAAATGAATTATTAAAGAAAAAATAAAGAAAAGTAACATTCGGAAGAAATATTCAGAAGTAATATTCAGAAGACATATTCAGAAAAATATTCGGAAAAGACATTCAGAAGTAATATTCATAAGAAATATTCAGAAGAGATAAAGATATATAATAATTAGAATTAATAATAGAAGGAATATAAAGAAAGAATAAATAACTTAAAGAAATAATTATAGAATAGAATAGTTGATGCCTAGTACTTAAATAGTATTCTGAATACTCATAGTAAAAGTATTGTATATATTTGCTGATGGTCTATTGACGCTTAAGTTACTGAAACTATATGAGGTTTGAAAAGCTTAAACTAACGATAAAATATAAGAATAAAGAGAAGAAGTATAATAGTTAAAGAAATATAAAGAATAATTAGACTGAAGATTAGACAACAATAATATTGAAAAGAAATTATTAAAGAAAATTATCACTCAACGTGAAGGAAAAGATTCTCAGCAATTAAAAATTAATTTGTAAAACAAATCCTCTTGATAATGAGTGGTAGAAATAATCAAGAAGGTACAAGCTATGTTGAAGCTTATCGAACTCAAAAATGCTATACATTTGTAAAACAAGGGTTATGGCAACTACAACATACATCTTTTTGTAGATGCTGAAGCTTTCTGGAATCCTGAAATCCTATGAATCAAACTAAAGAAGGTAAATGATTTATTTTCTTTTAATTTAAATAAAAAAATTTAAAATTAAATTTTTTACGTATCTCTTTTTGTAAATGCCGAAGCCTTTGGATCCTGAAATCCTGAAACCTAAGAATCAAACAAAGGAAGGTAAGTGATTTGTTTTTCTTTTAATTTAAATAAAAAAAAATTAAAATTAAATTTTTACTTACCTCTTTTTTTGTAGATGTCAAAGCCTTCTAAAATTCTAAAATCCTGAAATTCTATGAATCGAATGAAAAAAGGTAAGTGATTTGTTTTTCTTTTAATTTAAATAAAAAAAAATTTAAATTTAAATTTTTTACTTACCTCTTTTTGTAGATGCCAAAGCTTCTGGATCTTGGAATTCTAGAACCTAGGAATTGAACGAAGGAAGATGAGTGATTTGTTTTTCTTTTAATTTAAATAAAAAAAATTGAAATTAATTTTTTATTTACCTCTTTTTATAAATGCCGAAGCCTCTGGATCCTGGAATTCTGGAACCTAGGAATCAAATAAAAGAAGGTGAGTGATTCATTTTTCTTTTAATTTAAATAAAAAAATTGAAATTAAATATTTACTTACCTCTTTTTGTAGATATTGAAGCCTTCCTGGAATCCTGGAATCCTACGAATCGAACAAAGGTAAATGCTTTCCTTTTTTTTTAATTTAAATAAAAAAAAATTAAAATTAAAATTTTTATTTACCTCTTTTTGTAAATGCTGAAACCTCTGAAATTCTGAAATCTGAAATGCTGAAGCCTTCCGGAATTCTGTAATCCTATGAATTAAGATAAATTAATACTTTTTTTTTTTATTTTTAAGAAAAAAATTCATAATAAAATATAAATTTTTATTTTTATTTTTACAATGAATATGATTGATATTTCAAGCATATTTAATTATTTCAAATATGGTAACATCATAATTATCTGAATTATCGTTAAACAAACAATAAAATCAAATTTATCAAGTCATTGTGACATCAATAATTGAACTAATAGAAATAATAATTATTATGTGACTAATTGTTTGTACTAAAATACTCAGATACAGTTCACTTTATTGTATTGTACTAGTACTGTACGAGTACTGTACTAATACATTTTTTAACCCTGAATATAGGCCTTTCTTTTCAGTTTAGCTATCATGGCGAATGCACTAAGCTTAGATGATATGTTTATTAAATAAAAACTTAATTTTATGCAAGTTATTTTCATTATTTTGCGCAATATCGGCATCATTTGGATCAAATATAAATTTTCTGAGGAAAGATTATATGCCATAATAATACTGAGATATAATGAAGCAAAATCCAATTCCATTACAGGTCTTCCATTTTCAATCATTTGTTTAGATGAAAATACGTATAGTGCATAACACTTAAAGACTTCAATAAATTTGTTAATTTTAAAAAGTTATAAAAAATGATATAAAGATAATATCAAAAAAAGGAAGCCGCTATTTTAAAGCTAAATTAATTTATTACAAATTGCCAGCCTCTTTTTTTAAAAATAATTGCTTATTTCTGACTTATATTGATTTAAAAATTCCTTCTTTTTATATGATTAGTGTCTAGCGAGACAAACACGTGACTTATCATAGCCAATAAAAAGCCAATAAAATTACATGTGAAATTCTATTGGTTAATAAAAAACCATGTTTTTTGGATTTTCAGATAGAAAAATATTCAAAAATGCCACAGGTGAAAAAAATTTTATCAGACTTCAAGAATACAATAAGCAGAGATAACTATTGTTTGATGAAAAAGAAAAAACTGAGACTAACGAAAATATAGAGTCTGTCAAAAGGGAAGAAAAAGAAATTGAATTAGAAGAAAAGATACGAACGCATTTACTTACAACAGCTCTCATATGAAACAAACCTGAAAAAATAAAATAACAATAAAAGGAATACCAAAAACAACTTATTATCATAAGTTTGATACTTCCAGTGTACTTGCCAATGCTTCTAAGGGAACACCTAAAATTACTAGTTTTTGGGGTAGCGCTGGTGATTCTTTTGTGTTGTCTAAATTTTCAGCACCAAATATTTGTGTCAGTGAATTTACTAGAAGTTCTTCTGTTCTATCACCATCACCATCATCATCTCCTTTTCTATTACCATCTTCTTTTCTGTCCCTATCATCATCTTTTCTGTCTCTGTCACCATTTTTTTCATCATTAGTATCACCTACACTACCTGATTTTTGTCGAAAATTTAATGCTTTGTGAAAGAATTGTACAACTTCAAGATGATCTTATTAAGAATGGAAAAATGCTAATGGCCTTCGAATATAACAGACAGCATGCTGTCTATGAATATCTTATACAGATAAATGATGATAATGAGAAAATGAAAGCTAGTGAAGAAGTGGCGTAAATGGTTATATTATTTCAAAACCATATACCGCTAAATGGATTCGTTCTATAGCCAAATTTTACTTGAATCACCAATCATTTCCAGTTTCATATCGTGGAAAACACCATAAATATCATCGACTTGTTGATGATGAAGATATTGCATTGAGCTTGCAACAATGGTTATGATAAGAATCGGGTTCAAATGGTATTGACGTGGTTCATTTTAAGCAGTATATTGAGGATTTATTTTGCTTAAACGTATAGGAACCCGGAAAACTATCAGCATAAGAACTGCTGAAAGATGGTTGCATATCTTAGAATACCAGTTTAAAGGATATCGGAAGGGTGTCTATTTTGATGGATACGAATGAGAGGATGTTGTTGCATATCAGAAAGAATTTTTAAAAATAATGAAAGAATTGGAATAACGAATGGCTAGATATGAAAGAGAGGAAATAGAAGTAATTCTACCAGTACTCAGACCAGATGAACAAGAGTTGATTCTTATTACTTATGATGAGTGTATCTTCTATGCAAATGATGAAAAAAAAGAATTTGGGTAAATGATGGTGAAATGCCATTGTGAAAGAAGGGAAATGGAAGATCAATTATGGTGAGCAAATTTCTTTCAGAGGCTTGTGATCAATTGAAATTTAGTGAAAAAGAGATCGAAAGAAACCCAGATATTCCTACAGAAGCTTATTGTTATCTTTTACCTAGTAAGAACTAGGAAGGTTACTAGACCTTCGAGCCTTTGTTAGAACAGATTAAATCCAAAGCAATTCCTATTTTTAAGGTGAAATTTTCTAATGCAATGGCTGTTTTCGCCTTTAATAATAGTACGAACCATGCAGCATATGGCAAAGATGCTCTTATTGCAGCAAGAATGAATCTGGGTCCTGAGGAAAAACAACCAATTATGAGATTAACATCTTTTATTAACAAAGATGAATGAGAAATAACCTAACAAATGGCATTTTCAGAGGAGTATTCTGATCCTACCTTGCGAGAAAAACCAAAAGGGATAAAAAGGATATTACAAGAAAGAGGTTTATGAAAGGAAGGATTAAACTTAGAGTGTTCAATATACAAGAAAAAAGAATCTCTGAGAGTTGATTGTTGTGCAAGGAAGATTATAACATCTCAACCAGATTTTGTAATGCAAATTAATTGAGAATGCAGGTCATTTATGTGTTTTCTATCTGAAGTTCCATTGTGAACTTAATTTCATTAAAATGTACTGGAGAGTTGCCAAGCATTATGCAAGGGATCATTGTAATTACACATGGAATGGCTTGCAAGAAACTGTTCTACAAGCACTTGATTCAGTGAATATTATTACAATTAGAAAGTATGCCCGAAAATAGTAAAGATACATGCAATTATATCATGAGAGATTAATGGAAAAGTTAGCTGAATATACATGTAAAAAATTTAAATCACATAGGTGGATTTTACAAGATGATTTAACTGCATTTATAAAGAAAAAGGTTATGAGTAAAGATGGTACAGCAATTGATTTCAAATTTACAAAATGTTGCAACATAAGCTAAAATTAGTTGCAACAT